GTCAATTGCTTGAGTTCGTTAGGCAAAAATGAATTACTGCGCTCACGTTGAAGTGCATAAACTGTGTCAGAGACAAATGTGAGCAGTTGGGATGCGGACTGCAAACGTCCTGCACTACGAAGATGCAAAAGTCCAACACCATAAAATCATCAAAGCAAGGATAACACAGTCACTCTTCTGTCAATGGCCACAGTTAACAAGTTGGGCAAATGCAAATTTTTATAGGGAATGAAAATTCAATTCAATTAGAATCGTTAACAGGGAAAACCGAACCGAAACTAGGAAATACACAACGGCTGCAGGTTGGCAGAGTTCACTTTCAGAGTTCATTGTGAGAATGTCTCGACTATTGACTTTGTGGTAAGCGTTTCACTCCTGCGAATGGGAAAAATTTGTTGATTTATTAAGTCGACAAAATTTAACAGTTTAACTGCACAATGTACAAATATTTGAAAATTATAATTTAATTAAATTTAGTTTAAAATTAATTTTCCATTTTAGAAATATTGACTTTTTATTGCAAACTGCAACTTCTCTTTGCGATTCAATGTAAACTACATATATTGAAGTTTAATGCATGTAATAATCGATTCAATATTTTTAATAGTAGTAATATTATTTGGCTTGATCCTTGTTTATGAGGATTTTATACCACAACTTCATATGTTCTTTTATCAAGTAATTTTCTACAATTTTTTCATATCCTTTTTTTTGTCAGAACTTTTAACATTTTAACACGTTCTTTTTCAACACCTTTTTGGGTTTTATCTGCTCTCCGTCATCTGGCTTTATGGATTTGTATTTTTGATTGCTTACAGAACATACGAAAGGCGAACCCAAATGTGAATTTGACTGTAATTTTTATAGGGAATTTTTATATCGAAAATTTTACGCTTTTCTAGCGAACACTACAAATTGGGGGAAGGGAAACGTCTAGCCGAATATATATTTTCCTTTAAATGCTTATTTCAGACTCTGTTTTTTTTTTTTGGTTTGCCTAAGAAAAACACATTTTGATTTTGTTTCTTGAGATTTTTCCACATCTTAAGCATTTGTTTGCGAGTATCTGTGAGATTTCCAGCATTCACGCTTTTCTGGCTCTGTTCTGCAAATATTTGTGCTCATTTGAATTGCAAATTCTATTAGATTTTGAATTTTGAAAACACACACATTTATTTATTTTGAGCTCATTTTTATATATTTTTGTTTAATTTTTTTTATTTTGTTCAAAAAAATAGAGAAAAATTTGCTTAGAAGTAAAAGTAAAATTAGTTTTGAATCCTGTCTGCACTTTGATAGCAAATACTAGTGATTTTATCACAGAAAATTGTTTTAGTGTTTTATTTTGTAGTACGAGTAGTTGAAACGAATATAAAATGCAAACTTAAAATACTTGTGTTATTACAGTAAATAAGAGTTTGTAGAGAGAAAATTTTTTGCTTTAAATTTCATCAAGTCAATCTAATAAAGACCGAGACGAGTTATATATATGCATGCATAACTTAAACTTAGATAAACGAAGCAGCAATATCTTAGAAGTAACTAATAGTATCTTTTAGATTAAAACTGTGTCATCAAATAATCACTGTGTTAAGACCGAATCTAAGAGCTGATGTTGGTCTTAACTGTTAGATTCAAATTCAATGCAATTAGTTTTAAATAAGGATGAAGATTATCTTAAAAAAAATTATATCTTAATAAGCGATGCTAAACCTATGACACACATAAAAAAGTTCTACAGCATAATCTTGTTTTTAATATTACATTAGCGAGTATTTTTTTTTTTGGGTTTGCTATAGCATTTTGAAACAATTATAATAAACAGCTAATTCTAATAAATGGAGTTGTAATTAAAAATTATTATTAAGACAATTATAATAATAATAAAAAACAAACTTAAAATTTTAAGCAATTAATAGCAGTATTTGTTAGATACTGCCGCAAAAATTAGCTATCATTGGTTTAAGTCATTAGATTAATGTACGTCATCTGTGTATAAACTCTACTGATAACTTTTTCATTTTAAAATTTCATTTTTCTCTTTATTATACCTTTGGAGGTATTCCAACAATATAAATATTAATAGCGTCTCGGTCCAAATTTGGGAGATTTCCGGTAAGCTCAAAATGAATTAAAGAGAAAGCTCAACTCAGAAACTATGTTTAAAAAAAATTTTCATTTAAATGTCTCTACTGATTTATAAAACACCGAATTTTGATATTCTAATTTTATTTCTGACACACTCCAGCAGCAAGCCTTGATTTTTGCTATTCATAAAATTTAGCTAAAATTAATAAATTAAATTATCACATAATTTATTTAAAAAAACCTCACTTTTACCAATAATTTCATCAAACAGCAAAAAATAAAATATTTATGCCTATACATGCTATACATGCTATAAATAAATTTGTATCTTTGATCTTCAAGGAAAGCTAATATCAATAAGTATCCTTATTTATAGCTGCCATCTTAAATTGTTTCCTTTCGCTTTAAGGAAAGAAGTGTGTGCATTTAATTTATGAACGATCCTTTATTAAAATTTCGTCTTCCACAAATATTTGCATAAGAGCTTTTTAAAAATAAAAAATACTGTTTTCTCTCGAATACTTCCAAAGGGCAAAATTCGAATTGCGAAATGCTTTGGCTGTAATATTTCGCCCCTCGTCGCTGCTGTTAGGCGTTGCTGTAAATTTGTACCACACCTTCTTCTATGGCACTTCTAAATTAAATAGCCTAAAAGCACACAATAACACTTGAGATTCTTTTTTCTACCGAAATAAACCGAAAAGAAAAATCGCTGGAACAATGCTTATGCTTATGCTTATGCATACAATACACGCATAATTATTTATGTACATGCAAAGCCAAGCACACACACACAATAGACGCAATATTTTGCCCTCAGTCAGTAGCATGCATAGTAATGTCTACTTAACGCCCTGCACCTGTTGTTTTGTTTATTATTGTTATTCGCAGCGCTGCTATTGTTGTGCTGCTTCTTCGCGTCGAGTTATGCTGCTACGGCTGTAAACGTATTGTTGTGTTGGAACTGCGGTGCCATTGTTAGAATATGAGTGTTTTATTGTTTTGTGTGACACAAAGTCATACTTGAAATTTATTACACTCACACATAAACAAGTTAGAGTCTTGAAGATGTTACGCTTTTGTGTGAGCAGACATACATACTAACGCAAGTATACATAAGTTATTGTTTTCATTTCTTCCTGCGCTGTTTGTATGCTATTGTGCAAAATGTTTAAAAATAAAACAACACACACTCACGCACACATGTTTACTTATAAATACAAATGCAAATAAAAATAAAATACAATACAATATCATGTATGGAAATAATGTAATAAATACAATAACTTTTCAGAAGCATAACAAACCGTGTTTTTGTTGTTTTGCCGTTGCTGTTGTTGCTGTTACTGTTGTTTCATTTTCTTGTTATTCTTGCTACTTTTTATTATTATTATTATTATGTTTATTATTATTATTAATATTATGATATTGAAATGCTTATGTTTTCCTTACAACTTTTGTTTGTTAATATTGTTGTTACATGCCAATGTTGTTGTTGCTGCAGTAATATATGATGAGTATGTATAAAAATAATAACAATGACGATGGAAGTAAAATAGAAAAAAATATATAATAAATTAACGCCAGTTTAATAATAACACTTGCAGTCAGAAACACATTCAAGCAAAACAAGAAATTATAACATATTTTGTTAAAATAAAAATAACAATATATGAATATATACCACACATCTATGCACTCATATATATGTTACATGCATAACAAAAATAAGCATAAAACAAAAACAAAAAATTATAAGTACGTCAACGTCAGCTGCAACGTCAACAGTTACGTCAAGATCAATACGACAGCTCAATACAAAAAACAAAGCAAAAAATTACATGGCACACAATACATACTCAATACCAAACTCAACTTATACAAACAACCACATATTCAAGCAAAATCTATACACACACACACTCCCGTACAAATACTGGAATTTGTAGAAAATATGCAGAAACACGTGTGCGTGCTTAGTTTAGCTTGAGCCAAGCAGTGTGTGTGTGTGTGTGTGTGTATGCGAGTATGTTACGGTCTATTAACTGCTCAAGTATTTGTTGACGACGTTAAAAGGATATTTAAGGTGAACATAGAGGGGCATACTACGTATCGAAAATGAGACCAATTTTTGGTATCAGTTAAACTTCCATTAACTTTAAGTGGTACATAAAAATCGTGAGTTTATCGCATTTAATAAAGTTATATAGGAAATCACATGTGCGCAGCCCACACTGAGGAGAGGGGCATCATAGCGTATACGTGTTTTTACTTGACCATTTTGATATTTATTGAATTGTTTGCCATTTACCAAAGTTAACGATAATCAAATCATTTTCAGTTTCATTGACAATTGCTAATAGTTGGTAGTTTGCATTAGCGAAACATTTCACTTTTTATATGAACATAATGGAAAATAAATATATAACATAAAAAGCACACTTCTTGCGACACTGTGTAGAAAAAATACAATAAGAAAGAGAAAGTTTATATGGTAGAAATAGATTGTAGTTTATTCTGTTAAATTTAATGTTCAGAAAGTAATGTTAAGAACAGTTTACGTTAAATAAGCTATGTAAGGAAACTTATGTTAAGAAGGTTAGTTAAGAAAGTTATATTAAGAAAAGGCACAATATTATTCCTTTAATTGAATTTACTTACATTAAGAACTCGAATTTGCAAATAATTTTTAATTTTCTATAGAGCAAAAAAAATTTTTTGTATATGTAACCGCGACATCAGTACTCTTTTTGAACTTCATTGAATTTCCACGTCTAATATATTTTTTTTATTGGTTTCTTATTATAAAAAAATATCAGTTAAAATATGTAAATGTATATGTATATAGAGATAATAAACATTTTTTTATTTAAAAACAAACCGTTTTATTATAATTACATTTTCATTTTCAGATTTCTAATACATAGACTGAAATTGCAATTCTGGCTACAAAGGAATGGATTAGTTTACATAAAACAAAACCAAAATATATGCATATATACAGACAACATTTTCATTAAACGTGTTTCGAGCAGAAGAGCCGCACGCATGTGTCAAAAAAGTTTTCTGACAAATCCCCCAACAATAAAACCTAAGCCCAGCAATCTTTCTTTGTACTAAAAAACAAAAAAAAATCCATATACGAATCACAACACAAATAACTATGAATTTTCATCACACCACCAATGTCGATGATGGATGTTACAATTCAAAATCATCAATAAAGGCAACGTTCCCAAACGCAACGTCGGCAACGCTGACAACGCCTGCAACAGTGCATAGAAATGCAACTGAAAAATGCAACAAATTACATGCAGCAGCCACAACATCAATAAAATTTAACGAAAATAAATATTTGAAGTTGCAACAAAAGTGGCGGCAACGCCCGCGGGGGTACACAAATATCAAAAATTATTTCAAAACGAATTATTTATGTACATATTTATTTGTTGTTGTAGTGTTTCTAAGCGGTTGCCACATAACGCCAATACATTGTGCGCAAAACTCTGCTGCGGCAAGCGCACAACACAATGGCCTCAACGACAACAGCGAACAACAGACACTAAAGCAGCAAACTTCATTTAGTCAAACTGTAAATAGTACAAGTAATAACATTAATAATAATAACAGCAGCAACAACAACGAAAATGTTATAAAATCCACTGCAAACATAAATAAAGCAGTAACAGCAGCAGCACCAGCATCAACAGCACCAGCATCAGCAGAGGCTGAAGCAGTTGGTGCAGTTGAAAATATTTTTAATGATTACACTGAAGCCTTTGCTACGCTCATTGCAGAAGGCCATCTCAATAAAACCACCAATAAACAGAGTAGAAACAAAAACAATGCAAGCAAAAACGCCAACGGTGGCAGCAGCAGTAGCAGCAGTAGCAGCAGCGCTGGCAGCAACAGCTCTAGCAAAAGTAGTAGTTATGAAAGTCGTAGTAATAATTTAACATATAGTAAATCAAGCGATAGCAGCACTGATAGTAATAGTAATTTTAATCTGCACGATGAGCTGTTGGACAGCTTTCGTGGCACGCACGGCATGCCGCAGCAACCGATGTATACGAATGAATTTGCTGTGCATATACCAGCAGGCAACAGAATGGCCGATATAATTGCGGAAAAATATGGATTCACAAATGTGGGTCAGGTGAGTAAGCAAATAGTTAAATACACTTTAAAAATTTTTTCACATTTCAGATTTCAATATTTGCAATATTATTAACACTACAATTATAATATATGCAAAAATAAAAATGATATAAAGTAATGTAAAAAGTCATAGTTGCATTATGACTAAATATCTTTATGAAAAATATAACCTGATATGTCACACTTAAAAGATGTGTTCGTTCGACATAATTGGATTAGTGTTGCCAATTAGATAAATGTATACCACCACAAAACTAGTGATAAAAATCGATTGATACTTTTTAAAACCTTCGATTTTAACTGCGGTGTCAGTCATCATCATTAGCATTCCACAAAAGTCTTCAATAACATTCTCTACATTCGCGCTGATAATGACAAATACTGTTGAATATGCCAAATATCTTCCTTTCGCAGCATTTCTTGAGACAAACAGGTATTAATCGCTGAATTTGGAAAATACGGTGGGTGCGGAAGCAATTCAAACGATTTGCTACACAGCGCATTGTTTTAGTGAAAGATAACTTTTTTTCTTATTCCTGTAGGTCCATTAACTCGTTACTTAATGATCTGAACTTTCTCAAGGTAGTTGATGAAAAAGATTTCACGCGCATTCTAAAATACAGGAGCTGTAACCTTGCTAGCTGTTTGTTATATTTTTATCCGCCTTGAGTGAGGCTCACCGACAGTTGTTCATTCAGTTGACTGCTGTTTCGAATCTAGAATGAAATGGTGAATCCAAGTTTGCATTTTTACATATTCCTTATTATCTCGCTACAATAGTCATGAATAGCCGCCAGAATCATCGACACTATGCAGTTTTCTGTCAATTGTCAGTAAATGCGGCACCCACTTCGAAGAGTGACAAGTGTTTTTGCAAAATGAAGTCAACATGTTTCATTGAAATTTTTAAAGTGACCAGCTATCTAAATACCTAATTAGCTAACATTCACATTATAGTTTGCTAAAACAAATTTGTTGACCTTCTTGATGTTTTCTGGTGTCACCAAATCTTTTGATCGTCCAACGTCAGGTATCATCAGTGTTGGTACGAGGACATTTTGAGTTAGCAAACCACTTCTTTACCATTTGTCGCGATAGAGCAGAATTCGGGTAGCCTTTATAAAGCCAAGCTTTTGCTTCCATAGCAAAGTATCATAAAGTACATTAAGACTGAAAAGTTTTCGGAAATTCTCATTTAAAATTCGCGCGCTGTATATTTTTCGATATTT